TGAGGAGCCTCTGGGAGGTTTAGCCACAGAATGGAGATCAACTGATGATGACTGTTACATAGCCGTCTCTCACGCATACTGTCAACTTTTATTGTAATTGAGGTGTAACTGAACGTGCTATAACATGCACAAATCGTATCAATCATACAACCTGATGAGATTTTTTAAAGATATATTTTTATTGATTTCAGAGAGGAAGGGAGAGGGAGAGAGAGAGAAAAACATCAATGATGAGAGAGTATCATTGATCGGCTGCCTCCTGCACACCCCACTGGGGATCAAGCCCCTGATTTCTGACCAGGAATCGAGCCGCGATCTCATGGTTCGATTCTGCGACTTTCTGGTTCATAGGTCGATGCTCAACCATTGAGCCACACCAGCTTTGAATATGTCACACCCATGTTGCCACCCAAAGCAGGGCTTACAAATTTCCTCATGCCCCCTTGAGTTCATCCTGCCCCCAGAGCCAGTCACTGTTGTTGAGACTTAGGGAAGTCATATCTCTGTCAGATCAAAGATTCCTGCTTTTAACTCGTCCAGATCCAAATATACTTGCTCAACAAAAACAAAACCCAGTGGAGATAAAAATATAACGCGTTCAGTAGCGTGGGCGATCCTGTCATTCCACCCAACTGGCGTCTCTGTTGGAGTGAGCGTGAAAGAGAGACACAGACCTGCTGTTCCTTCTGTTGGTCTTTGTTCCCGTGGCTTTTTAGAACGTGAGCATCTTGTGCCACCGAGTGCCATTCTCATATTTATAGATTTTAATTATCATGCAACATGGCCCCGGAACCCACGCCAGCGATTTCTCCTGGTGCTCACCCTAAGAAACCAAATCGGATGCTGAAGAAAAATGGGCCTTGTTGGACTTCAATGGGAGATGGGTTTATCAGTCTCCATGGTGAGACCTTATTATGGGATTTTTCAAGGCGAATTTTGACGCCTGTCCATTTTCATATTACACTAGTGATCTATTGCACGAAATTGCGCGAGACCCAGGACCCGCCGCCGCCCCCCTGCACCATGGGACTGCCCCGCGTCCTAGAGTGCCGCCTTGATGCCCCGCCTCCGGGACTCGTGGAGCATGGGCCCTGTCCCTGCTGCCCTGTTCCCACTATGTGTGCCGCCATCTTGTGACAGCGTTACAGTGTGAGGGTCAATTTGCATATTACCTCTTTATTATATAGGATGCTGACTTTAGAAGGTAACCCTTGAGTAAGAGGCAGCTGTGATGTGGTAAGAACTCATGTGGGTGAGAGGTTATTACAGATTTGGTGGCTTGGAACATGTGACAACATGGTGGGTGGTGCTAATTTGCATGAGTCCTTCCTGATATGAACGCAGAGTTGACTGAAATATATGAATGATAACCTGGGAGCTCATCAGAAAGGGAAGTCTATGACTGTCAAAAATGAAGAGAGAGCCCTAGCTGGTTTGACTCGGTGGGTAGAGCGTCGATCTGAGGACTGAAGGGTCCCGGCTTCCATTTCGGTCAAGGGCATATGCCGGGGCTTGGGGCTTGATCCTCAGTAGCGGGTGTGCAGGAGGCAGTGAGCCGGCTGGAACTGGTGAGCCGCACCCCAGAGGCTGGGTTGTTTGTTCTCGTTTCAACTCTGACCTTTGGATTGGGCATCCAAGCGTGGAATTTTCAGGAGTAGGAATGTCACGCGTGATATCACAGGGGCAGGGAGAGACAACGGGGCAAGAGTGGAGCTCTGCCCTCTTTCTTCCCTTGTATTAAAAGTCACTTTGTGTGTAAATGTGGATGGAGAGACTGTTACACTCTGGGGGACAGTGAAAATGAGTACAACATCTTCCCAGAGCAATTCCGTGCTATCTACCAACATTCGAGTGCATTGTACCTTCTGACCCTGCAATTCCATGTTAAGGATTTTATCTTGTAAACCCCACCTGCCCTGTAGTTGCCCATGTCTGTGCACATGCGTGTTTATTGCAGCATGTTTGTTAATAGCAGACCCTGGAAGCAGCTGCAATGTATGTTCCTTGGGGACTAATGGACTGAAACATGGTATCTTCTTACAGTAGAATACGGGGCCACTGTTTAAAATAGCAGGTCGTATATGCTCAAAAGGAATGCTCTCCAGGTTACTTTTTTTTAGTTAAAAAGAGGGCAGTATGCATATAAGTGTATGTGATATACCCCTGTGTGTGAAAAAAACAGAGGGAGGTATACATGCTTACACACACACACACACACACACACACACACACGCAGATGCATGGTGATGCATGGACTCTGGCTAGAAAGAACCAAGAAGCGGGAATACTGTTTACCTCTTTGGAGGAAAAAAGGATTGTGGGTCTAAGATGGAAGATATCTTACTGTACATCCTTTTATATTTTGAATTTTCAAACATAAGCATATAATATATAAAAAGCATATAGTTGCTTTTGTTGTTGTTGTTAAAAACAAACTAGTGCTCAGCAGTTGAGCGTCCATCCAGGAACCAAGAGATCACCAGTTCAATTCCCGGTCAGGGCATATGCCTTGGTTGCTGGCTCGGTCCCCAGTAGGGGGCGTGCGGGAGGCAGCCGATCAGTGATTCTCTCTCATCATTGATGTTTTTCTCTCTCTCTCCCTCTCCATTCCTCTCTGAAATCAATACAAAATTTAAAAAAAACCCAAACTAATTACCAAAAAGACTATACTTTGGGAGCTTTCAACATGAAAGCCCTTCGTATTTTTAGACGAGATGGGCAGGTCTCCGTGATGTTGCTAAACTGCAGCATTTACTGAGCATGTGCCAAGCGCCGGGCACTCCGGCATGGTCTGGTTCTCAGGTGCCCATGCCCTGTGACTCTCTCCTTCACTCGCCCTGCCTGGACCCCTGAGCGGCCCAGTCCAGGTATGAGAAATGAGAACCCCATTTTCATGAAGAGGGAAAGTCGAGTCTTGCAAAGTTGCGTGTGGTGCAAGTAGAGAAGTGGAATTCGACAGCCGTCTTAGACGTGTTTTAGGAACAGCCGTCTTAGACGTGTTTTAGGAACGGGGGCCACGGGGCTGCCTTTTAGACGTTCAAGTTACTGGGACGGCATCTCAAGCCTTTCTCCCGCCTGCCTCGAGTCCCTGCCTCCTCTATCAAGGCCCCACGGGCGTGTTCTGTTCATATTAACTTTCCTGAGGGTGCGCTTGTTTGCTCTGGGCAGTTGGAGCTGTGTTGTTGGGCCGAATCAATCGCTGATGTGTTTTGAAACCGCAAAGGCAAGGAGACTTTGTCCTGCGGTGCCCTCCTTTTCTGACTGACTTTGTCTGCACAGCTGTCCTGTGGAATGTGCACCATCAAAGGTCTAGGAGACACGAGCTCTGTTCACGTGAAAAGACTGACCTTCAGGGCCTTTCTCAGCAAAATAGATGTCCCCAGGGTGCTTCTGGCATTGTCGTTGTTTTCTGCCATCAGCCGCGCTGCTCACCTGTCACAACATGTTTCCTGGAACCAGAGGCTCTCTCTCCCCTCTCCCTTTTCATCGTTCGGTAACAAGCTCAGTAAGTAGGTTATTCATCTTGCAAAGATGTTGTTATGATTTGACCAGCCGTAATCCAGATGGGCGAGAAAAGGGGGGTGAAAAATGAAGTTCC